TACTATTTAGCTGTGGGCTTTTGGGGGGAGGGAGGTATTGATCACAGTTCTGAATTTATTCAGGAAAAACCTATTTGGTTTTTTTTATTCCTGATTTAGTCTTGGAATGTTGTATATGTCTAAGAATCTATCCATTTCTCTAAGCTGTTCAATTTTTTGTCATATAATTGCTCATAATATTCTCTTACGTACATAATATTCTCTTTCTCCTTTTGATTTATTTATACGCCTCCAGTTTTTGATGGAGTACTGATTATGATTATTCTGTCCCTAACTGGCCATAAAATGTTTGGCATACAGGAACATATAAAAGGAGCTACAATGAGGAACAAAACATAAGAAAATTTATTTGCATCTAGATATGATTTAGAAGACACTGTTCTAAACTTTGGATCTATAAGAGTGAAAGTTTTGGTAATCAAAGATGGAGGTTAACAATATTATCACATGTAGCAGGTGAACAACTTGTGAAGAATGAGAATCTATATAGAGAAAGACCCAACTAACGGTTCAAAACATTCCAGTCTTCTTTACTATCTATTGAATAAAAAACATTAACAAAATAATGTTCTAAGTGAGTTTGGAGGTAGTTAATTATGCTTTTGAAGATGTGACAATGTTGTTCAGGTTAAATCATCTGAATGAGCCATACTAAGATGTGCTTAAAGCCAACAGAAATTATATTCCAGTTCATATCTGGTGTCCTAGTCTATTACTAATAGGATCCACTTTCATTCTGAAAGTGTATTTTTTCCCCAGTATACTATATACATATATATATGGCTATCCTCCATATAATTCACTATACAATAAATTAATGCATTCTAGCTGGTTAGAGATTAACATATTAATGATATAAGTATATTTCAGTTGAAATATAAATCTAAAATTGAGTATTGTTGTAAAGCTACTTCTTGGGGCCTGAAAGTTTTTAACAATCTACTAGCAGACTTCTAAACTGCTGAAGCTGAATGTGCTAAGGAGTTACTAATGTGAGAATTAAAATACTTTTCTCTATGTCTGGAATATATTTTGACTTTAAAATATGAATCAGAAAAATACACAATAGGAAAAAGATGTTACATGTTTCCACTTTCATTCTTTTCATGCTAATAATTAAAGTACGTATCACAGAAACATCTGACTACAATAGCTATTACAATTCATGGATAAGATAGTGCTTATGAATTAAATCACGAAATTACAAAATTCTTTTACCATTTCTCTCTCAAAAATTATTTTTTAAATTTTCATAATAATTAAAACTTGAATAATCACTGCAGCTTTGGAGATTCAGCTGTTAAAAAATTTTCTAGAAATAGAAGTTTAACCCAATTTAGATAATTGCACTACAGACTAAATACCCTAGTACCAAAGGTAAACTTAACTGATCAATGGTAAATTTAACTAAAAACTTCTCATGATGAAGAGTAAAGACCAAATCTTTGCTGAAAAAAAAAAAGTGCAAAACTTAGTGCCAAGGAAGTACTTCAAAAAAGAGGTTAGTTTCCTTAGCAACAGGTATCACGTGTAATGCAAAGATTTGAGAGGAGGAAAAAAGATTAGGAAGGAAAACAAAGGACAAAGCATAAAAAATAAAGGACAAAGCATAATAAAATATAAGAGAGTTCTCAAAATTAAGGACAAAGCTTAAGGAACTATAATAGAGTTCTCAAAAAGGAGATAAGGAAAGTACATCTGGATAAGGTTACCTATGGCACCATCTCAATTCTAGACAGAAATTTTTGTTTGAGATACTGATTAGTTTTAAAAGATAGCAGCAACTATCCCCAGGATCTGCATCTAAGTAGGGTCCCCACTGCCTACCATGCTCCTAGCAGCCCCTGTGGGCATGAACCGTGACTGAGTCCCTGGTCTCCCACAAAGGTTCTCCAACCCTGCCCAGACCTTTGTGACACAGCAGAGCAGCCTGAGAAATCCTTTCAGGGCAAACTTGATCGCCTGGTTCCCAATCAGACCCTCTTGATCTTGGTGAGAGGGACCGCAGGGCAACTTGCAATCTTAAGTCCCAGATTAATGACCCTGTACCCACAGGCCAGGTTGCAGCGGACACCTCTGTCACTGGGCATTCGTGACTGGGAACTCTCAACTGACATTCAGGTCCGCTCAAACCCAATACGCAGGTGCCGCCTGGCACCGGCAATCCTAAATCTCTGGGTATCCCCCAGTACTCGTTCAAGTTTGACACACCCCTCGTATTCTGAGCTGAGATGTCTTAGTTCTATCCCAATGTGGTCTCGAGCTGCTCCCAAGCAGTCATGATCTTGCAACTCCGATTGCCGTCCCGGCTTGCTCTGACTTGGCGCCACGGGCCTTGCAGAAACGCTCACAGATTTGCAACCCGGAACACAAGGCAGGCCTGTGTGATCTTGGCACGACAGTTGCTGCCAGGGGCTCAGAAAGGCAAAGTCCCAAGCTGCCACTGGGATCTGCTCTGGGCCACCACAGCTGCTACTGGGCACTTGACACGGGGAATCCACAGCTGCTGCTCAGTGCACTTGACCTGGACACCGCAGATGTTGACAGGCAATAGCCACTGGGCATCTGAATTGCTGTCCAAGTCCACTCAACCAGTGTAGCGGCGGCTGCAGGACCCCCATGAACACCAATTTCTGGTAGCAGGCAAGATCCACACAGACTGAACACCACACACCCTTCCTGCCTGGGACTTGGGGGTCACAAAGTTGAAGCCACCGTTCAGATCTGCTTGAACCTTTGCCTCTTGGCCTGGCAGAGCATCACAAAATTAAAAAATAAAGGAATTCACCTGCACCGATGGATCAAGACCAGGGAAGAGCCCCCAGCATAACAGGGCTTTCTTAAGTCCCTAATCAGTATTTCCAACCATCCAAAGGAGTTTGTTGAAGGAAGGGAAACAGTGTAAGAGACTTAGATATAAACATGAAACATGGGCAGAGAAATCATGAGAAAATTCCAAGGACTGAACCAACCAGCAAAAGGAGCAGAGAAATGCTTTTAAAAAAGAACCTAAGAATGATTTTTAAAGTGGAGTTAACTGTCACTCTCCTCCCGGTGTTCATCGATTTGCTTGAGCCGGCCCAGTAACGTCTCCATTGGAGACTTTGTTGTTACTGTGTCTGGCATATCGAATACGTCACGGGGAGCTTGCCGGGGCCTGCCGTGCAGGTGAGATACTCTCGGTAGCTTGCCGGGCTCTCTGAGAGGGGCGGAGGAATTGAACCGGGGTTGGCCCAATCGGCCACATGCAAGGCAAGCACCCTACCCGCTGTGTTATCACTCCAGCCCCATTCAGTGAGTTAACGTAAGATGGAGTTAACATAAGAGATTTAAAACGAACAACTCAATTTTAAAATTGGTAAAAGACATGGGTACTTCCCCCAAAGAAGCCATAGAGATGACTCACCGACATGTGATAAAATGCTCGGTATCACTTATAAAAGTGCAAATCAAAACCACAACTCAAGAATCACTTCATAGTCATGAGAGTGTGAATTATCAAAATGATAGGAAACAACAAACATTAGTGAAAATGCTGAGAAAAATCACTGTTACTGAGAATGTAAATTGGCATAGTGTCTACGGAAAACAGCATGGAGGGTCTTTAAAATAAAAAATAGGAAAAGGATATTTCATGTAATCTAGTGCTACCATACCAAGGTATCTAAAAGATATCTGAGTGATAGAAAATCATATATGAAGGAAATAAAAACACTTATTTCAAATTATATATGCACACCAATATTCACAGCATTATTATTCCCATGAACTAAAACATAAATCAAAATGTCTATATACGTAAGCTGTGATATATGTGTGTATATGTGTGGTATATATGTTTAAGGTGTGGATATATGCATATATGCATAAATATATACTCTTAATAAAATAGTAAATACATAAATACATATTCAATATATGTATACACATATACAAAAGTACAAACTCTTAATGGAATACTGCACTGCCATTAAGAAGGTAAGACCATATTTTTGTAGACAAATAGATCTTGAGGTGATTATATTAAAATAAATAAGGAAATGAAAGACAGATACCTGATAATTCACTCATATGAAATACAAATAATTAATTCAAATGAACTGTAAAATAGTCCACAAAACTACCTCAAAGGTATCTTGGAAATCTAGAGTGGTCACTACAGAGGAAAAAGGAAGGGGGTAGAAAGAGGAATAAACAGGTCACTTTGGTGGTCTGAGGGTGAGCTACACATATGAGATACAAAGCTGACTCATGGAATTCCAAAATATTGAAAATCAAGGACAAGTTACTTTAAATGTTTTAAATTTATAGAAGCATTATAAACAAAAAAAGAAACCAAAGATATTCTTAAAATAAAACTGTATGAAGATGGTATAAATATCATCGAGGGGCAATCAAATACTAGAGAAGCTGGAAAAATATTGATTACATCATACAAGATGGAAACAGAGAAAAAGGAAAATCATTTTCTGTTAAGAATCGGGAGAGAGGTCCCAGAGGAACAGCTCGGGAGCTTAGAATATATGACTTGCAAGAAGATGGCTCGATCCCCGGTAGCACTGCACACACCAAGCAGAATCCTGAAAACTCCATTGTTTGAGCCTGCAGCTCTGTTTTCTCTAAGGCCAGGCACCGAGAGCAACCACGGTGCATAAATACCTCAACTAACGTGTGTGATCCCCAGTGAGCAAAGCAATGAAACGGTGCAAAGTCCACAGCCAGAAAGCACAGCCTAGCGACATGTCGCAACTAGAGTAGGACCCTGCAAGTGCACAGCTAAGTGGGCAAGAACCACGGCCAGGCACATGGACGTGATTCACACTGCCCACCACCCAGTCCTACTGCCCACTGGCCCCTTCATCGCACCAGCAACAAGAAGAGAAGCAGGAAGGGGCGGAGATTATTATAAGAACTGGAGATGGGTTTGAGAATGGAAGAACCAGATAGGTAATTTAGGAAGTTCTTGGAAACGAAACACCAGAGTCAGTCTTATTGTCTACCTCGTTTTCTGTTCCCACGTCTAGAGTGATAGGCAGGCATTCTTGAGGGTTCATCCCTCCACAAGCTGTGTAGAGAGCCAGTTTCCCCACGGGGATGCCCATTCCATTGCAGCCAAGGTCTCCCAAGCCAAGAATGCGTTCTCCATCAGTCACCACAATGGCCTAGAAAACAAAAATCATATTGATAAATATTCACGATTCCTAGGGCATAAATCCTGATCACTTGTGTTAGTATTGACATAATGAAATAGTAAACTGACCAACAAACATCAATTGGATAAATGTGGGAAACGTTTCCTATACTTGTGTTGGAAGAGTAAGAATAAATTCTATGTATATTGTTAATATTTTGTTCAGGCAGAGCGTTTGCCTTGCACGTGGCCGACCTGGGTTTGATTTCTCTGTCCCTCTTGGGGAGCCCAGCAAGCTACCAAGAGTATCACATGGCAGAGCCTGGCAAGCTCCCCGTGGAGTATTCGATATGCCAAAAACAGTAACAAGTCTCACAAGGAAAACATTACTGGTCTTGAGCCAATCGATGAACAACGAGACGACAGTGCTACAGTGCTACAGTTAAAAATGCATTCATAAGGGACCAGAAAATATTACAATGGGTAATAGACTTGCACACAACCATCTGGGTTCAAACCTCCCACAACTTACATGGTCCCCCCCAAGCCCACAAGCCATGATGTCTGAGCACAAGACCGGCAGTTAGCCCTGGGCACAGCAGAGTGTGGCCCAAAAAACACAAAGAAAATAAATACATTTATAAGATTAATTTTGCGTTCAATAACAGAAGAGAAGTATGCCTAAAAATCCAATTAAAATCATTCTATTTCGATCAAGAGGGGCTTGCGGTAAGAGAATAAACTGGGAGTTAAAGTAGTAAACTGAACAGTTCTAAAATATATTCACTCCTGTGGACAAATACCAAAGTACCTATAACTAATCAATGTAAAAATGCTGAATAATTCTTTAATATTAATACTACAACCACGGTCTTCCAATTTCAAAACATTATTTATTCACTCTCTTTGACTACTATAACCATTTGACATTGCTTCGCACCTGTAGGTATATGCCCAATATAGACTACTACTATATTAATGAAGTTTGTTTGCTTACTTTTTAACATTTTACTTACTAGAATTGTTGTAAGATCTGGAAAACTGAAAAGGTACTTAGCCTGTTTAACATCTCTCCCCAAGATGGTACATTCATTATACTGTTTGTTCACTTTTAATCACCTTAAATATAGACAAAGCATCTATTTTATCTAGGTCTATATTTTAATTATATGTAAATTGCTGTTGTTATTGAAATAAGACATGCAATATCTTCATTCTGTAACTTGTGGCTATTTAGTGAATTGAAACAAAAGCAATCTTGTCAAACATATCTTATTAATTTTCTACAAACTACTACCTTGTTCATATCCATATATTGTTGGGAAACTGCCAGTTATTTGACCTTGGGTAAATTGATGAATTCAAGTTTCTGTTTTCTTAGTTGCAAGGTGGGAATGACATCTACCATACACCAATTTCTAGCACAGAATTTGGTAAAAAGTAAACAACCAATAACAACCATTAATGAAGGTGTTGATGATTCAATCAAATGAGATCATGATATGCAAAGTGCCAAGCACTTACCATAGTGTTTGGCACATAATAAATTCTCAAACAACTGCAGCTATCATGAGGACTAATGTACAGACAAAGAATTTTAAAAGTTCAGGGGAATTCGGAGTAATTTCAGTCCATTTTTCTGATTTTATTTCTTCAGTTGGGGAAGAGCACTCACCAACAGTGCTTGGGAGTCTGGGGAAGGTCATTCATTCCCGGTGACCTGGCTGTGACAGGCCTGATAGTCAGGTGCTCAGATCTGGCAGTGCAGGGCTGCTGGGGCCCAACTAGACAGGGATCACCCCAGTGGTGCTCAGGGCCCACCAGGGAAATATCTAGAAGTGCTAGGGAAGGGGGTACAAAGTGCCAAGGATCAGCCTCGGGGACGTCATGCATGCTAGGCATGGGCTCCAACCCTTTGATCTATCTCTCTGATCCTATCTCTCTTGTGCTCTGGAATAACAGAAAGAAAGTCCAAGAACTAAAATAATCTTCCTAGGCAATTTACTTGACAATAATAGCTGAGAATGATCACGCTGGAGAAGATCAGAGGGTTAAAAGTAGGTAAGGGATATTCTTGATAACCTTTCAGTATCAGTATTGCAAACCACAATGCCCAGAAAGAGAGAGAGAAAGAGAGAGAGAGAGAGAGAGAGAGAGAGAGAGAGAGAGAGGGCATGGAGAGGGTGGAGATGGGAGGGAACCTGGGGACACTGGTGCTGGGAAATGGACACTGGTCGAGGATGGTGTTAGAATACTGTTTGCCTGAAATCCAATTATGAACAGCTTTCTAATGATCTATCTCACAGCGATTCAACAAAAAAGCTAAAAAAAAAAACCCAAAAGTTTAAAACTCTTAAAAAAAAATCAAAGAATAAGATCTCAAGCATGTCAACAGTTTTGAACGGTTTCAAAAAACTAAAGTTTTTGCCCTATAAAATATTACTAAATATATTTTAACACAAATGATTGAAATATTTTTATTTATTTTTTGTTCATTTTTATGTTTATTATGTTCTTCTTTTTAATAACGTTTCTTAAAAGTTAAAGTAGGTGGCAGCTGCTTCAAAATATGTTCTGAGGCATTAGGCATTTCATTTCACATTACATCTCATAATAGTAAAGTAAAGGCCCTCCCGTTGTTCGTCGATTTGCTCGAGCGGGCCCAGTAACGTCTCCATTGGAGACTTTGTTGTTACTGTGTCTGGCATATCGAATACTCTCGGTAGCTTGCCGGGCTCTCCGAGAGGGGCGGAGGAATCGAACTCGGGTCGGCCATGTTGGCCGCGTGCAAGGCGAACGCCCTACCGCTGTGCTATCGCTCATAATAAAATACATTTATAGCACTAAGTCACAGATGTTTTAATGCTGAGATCTTAATAGTGATAAAACCACTCTTTGTCATCGATCTACCACTTATCAACATTTCCTTACATTTCTTTTTTACTTTTATCTCCTGCTTACCGAAAATAAAGCAGTTCGATACATTCTAACCCCCCTTTGACTATCTCTGTGTAATAACTAAGTCACACCAGCAGATTAGCTTAGCGATTCTATTGGTGATGTCTGAATTCCAGAAATGAAATCTTCATTCTTTATCGTCACTTATGATCAGGGCATGGCCTGAATTCAAAAACACCTGTGTGAAATACGCAGGGTTTGCCATGACCGCACACAGACACTCTCACAAGAGTCCTGTCCAGTTCCTCCTTCCCTTCCCTTGGGGCCTATGCTGCTGCTGAAGCCTTCCTTAGCCAGTTTCTTGCCTCTCTTTCTACTCTCCCATGAACCTTCCTCAAATATTACGTGTAGAAAACCATTTCCTTTTTCAAATCTGATATTCCCCCTTTTCAAAACTCTAGATTCCTTCTTCTCGGTTTCAAAATATTTCATAATAATTTGATTATCTGCTACTTGAGCAATCCTAAGTCCAGTTCATTTCAATATTAACACAGAGTTTTGGTGAGGTCAGCCAATTTCCTTGTTGCCCAAGAACACTCTCTTCCTGAACAAATCAACATTTGGTCCGTTTGTTAAAACAGTATCTCCTATTTTTTTCAAATGATCAAAGACTGGACTTAATTATTGGTTTTGCAAGGATTTTTTTTTGTGTTTTTTGGGGTGGTGAGGGGGGTGAGCTGGGGTCTGAACCCAAGGTTTTTCACATATAAGACAAGTGCTCCCCGGATGAGTTTGATCCCTATTCCAAGAAAAATTTGTTTACTATTCTAGTTTTCTCTGAATGAACACAGCATTTATCATTTATAATGAATGGTTTATATTATTGTCTAACACAAATACCTATGCTTTATATGTGTTATTCTTAAGTTATTTATCATAGTTATTTTTTAAGAGCATGCAATGTATCAGCCTCTAGCTAAATAACAGTAGCAATGGTTAAGATCAGAAATATTAAGTTAAGATTCAAAGGATAACTCTACACTATTAATTAAGTTAAAAGTACAGGAAGCAGAGTGATTATTTACTGCCTGGGTGTTAGGATTATAGGGATAGTAATTCAACCTCTATGCTCTAGAACTATTTCCTATACTGATTCTGATTCTGTGGGCATCGAAAGGGTCAGATAGGTTTTTTTTTCCATACAGTTCATGAAAAGAAATTTTCTTCTACCTATAACATCTTGGTATGGGAAAGTAAATTGTACTAAATAATATCCTGTGACCACTGGGGAAAATGTTACCGTTGCTCAAAGAATGCAGATGACCTAGACTTAGGAGACTTCCAGAAATGACCACTGAATTAGAGACGTCTATCTTAAGGCAGGCATATACCCAGAGGCAGGTTTTGACATACGTTATGTGAGGTCTTATCCTCCTCTTTCCTTGTTACCCCAGTCCCTGATTCATGGCCCTCTTTCCATGGCCAAAATTGGGCCCTGATAATTCGTGCAGTTCCTCATGTAAATGTTATTATATTGAAGTTTCCTTTGCTAATCTGTTATTAATTTGATCCCACGGGGAAATAAACCAGAATGTTGATGAAATTATCCGCTGTATCCTAAAAACTCATTCTGAGAACTCTCTGTACATGCTTGCTTAAATGTAAACATCCGTCTCAATTGTCAAGACTTTTGTACTTCATAGGATTAATACATTTCTGAGAAGTTCTTAAGAACAGGATATTAAGGTCAGGCCACACAGTCTATTCAGTTGGGGGAAAGTTGAGGGAGAAACTGAGGCAGGGAAAGGAAAGAAACTGGGAAAAATTGAAATAGGCACAAGTGCTTGACTTTACCAGTTTGCTTAGTAGTGAGTGAAAAAGCACAGTGATTTACTAATTTTTGTGCTTGGGTTTCAATTGTACAATGACCTAGTACCCATCCCTCCACCACTGCCCATTTTCCACCACCACGGATCCCAGTATCCCTCCCACCCCCATCCACCCCATTCCCCCCTGCCTCTGTGGCAGGGCATTCCCCTTTGTTCTCTCTCTCCTTTTGGGTGCTGTGGTTTGCAAAAGAGGCACTGAGTGGCAATCATGTTCGGCCTATAGTCTACTTTCAGCATGCTTCTCCCCTCCTGGGAGGATCCTCACAACACCCTTTATTTGGTGCTCCCTTCTCTATCTGAGCTCCCTAAAAAAATGTAAATGATGGAGAATGGGCACTGGTGGAGGGATGGGTACTGGATCATTGTATAACTGAAACCCAAGCACAAAAATTTGTAAGTCTACAACTGCTGTACGTCATGGTGTTTCACTAATAAATTTTTTTTTAAAAAGCACAGTGAATTAACTTTAAGCAAAATTACTACAACAGTTGGGCTGGAGCGATAGCACGTGGCTGGCTGACACTGGTTTGATTCCTCCGTCCCTCTTGGAGAGTCTGGCAAGCTACCGAGAGTAGCCCACCCGCATGCTATGGCAGAGTCTGGAAAGTTCCCTGTGGCGTATTCGATATGCCAAACACAGTAACAACAAGTCTCACAATGGAGATGTTACTGGTGCCCACTCGAGCAAATCCATGAACAACAGGAGGACAGTGCCACGGTGACAGTGCTACTACAACAGTAAAAACGTTCAGGGAGCTACACCTCAAAAAGTTACAACTAAATGGAGAATGGGCACTGGTGGAGGGATGGGTACTCGATCACTGTCTAACTGAAACCCAAGCACAAAAACTTGTAAGTCTACAACTGTACCTCATGGTGTTTCACTAATAAATATTTAAGGAAAAAAAAAGTTACAACTAAAGTGACTCTGTACTAAGAGACCTTAAGTTATTCGACTTTAGAGCTAAAAGTTGCAGACAATGTTCTGAGTAACCTTAACAGAAAAGGGCTAAAATTTTAGGAAGTCAAGGAGAAGGCATTTACTGTCCTCAGCCAAGGAGAGTGGAGTACAGTGCAGCCACAGTTTCCAGAGCAAGGACTCTCAGGCAGTCCGTGGTGACCACCACTGGGCACTGCTGCTACAATCCCCGCCCCTGCCTTTCTTAGGCGCTCGTGTTCATTCAGGTCAAGCTTTCTCACCCAGCAAGCTGCCAAACGTCAGACACGGTGTGTTTTTTATTTTCACCAGCGAACTCACTTGAGGAAGTGAGTGTTACTTAAGAGCTCACTGATAGAGGAAACGCATTCACGTTCTTGCTTAACTGAGCAGATGATTGAATACAGAAGAGTAGGACCTTGTCTAATGAAATTTACAAAATAGGATCTTATTCAACGTTTATCACCCCCCTTGATCCTTGATCAGGGTTTCTCAATGCGGGTCATAACACACCCCTAGCATGTACAATGGGGTGGTGTGTATGTGTGTGGGTGTGTGTGGGCAGGGGAACGCCAGTCGTGGCTTTGGGTGCAAGTGCAGGAGCGCAGAGGCTTTCTGTTTGCTTAAAGAGGGACGCCCAGAGGCTTTATTTTCCTGGAAAAGGCAGGGGTGTTGGGAGGATCCTCCCAGGATGAGAGAAGCATGCTGAAAGTAGACTATGGACCGAACATGACTGCCACTCAATGCCTCTCTTGCAAACCACAGGACCCAAAAGGAGAGAGAGAGAGAACAAAAGGGAATGCCCTGCCACAGAGGCAGGGTGGGATGCGGGGTATGGGGGGTAGGAGGGATGCTGGGACCCGCAGTGGTGGAGGATGGGCGCTGGTGGAGGGATGGGTACTCGATCATTGTATAACTGAAACCCAAGCACAAAAATTTGTAAGTCTATAACTGTACCTCGTGGTGTTTCACTAATAAAAAAAAGGCAGAGATAGACCCCCCAAATTTTCAAATATCTGATTTAGACTAAATAAAAAAAAAGAGGGCTGGGGAAGTAGCTCTAAAAGGGCGGGAACAAATGCACTGCACGTGAGACCCCTGTTTTTTGCTCCTTGGCACTGATTGGTGCCCAAGAATCACTGGGAATCATATCTCCTCCCAGCATTACACCAGGGGTAACCTTCCCACACACAGCACCATTGGTGTAGCCAATTTTTTTAAATAGACTAAGAAATTGGAAATAAAAGGGAAATTTCATACCTACATGATATTAGACTAAAATACACACTAATATAATTCCCTAACTATGCAAGAAAATCAAAGGACCAGACATTAGATAATATCCACTAGGAAAGCTAGTGAATGCTACTTAATAACATAAAAATGTCCACAGGAAAATATGGTGGAAGAATTTGTTAACTTACCTTGATATGATCTTCTGGCCATGCATTAAGAACGGACGCAATATGTCCTTGATCGTGGATACTGATGAAGAGGCCTCTGACAAAAAATAAGAAAGAAAAGATATTTGAAACTTACTTAAAACTATTGTGAACAACTAAAGATTTCTATTGTGTTTAACTCCATTTTTACAAACTAGTAAAGATTTCTTCCTTAAATGAGAGGAAAGAATGCTGTAAGGGAGAAATTCCTTTAAGCAACATATTAATATCCACAATAAAGGTAGGTTCATTGTTAGACTCTTAAATATTATTTTTTATCAAATTCTCAAATACTTTTTAAACTAAAGACACATTCACTATTGGGGGCAAGAAGTAAAAATGGTTTTATTTAAAGAAATGTAATGAAAGAGTAGGAGAGAGATGTGCTGAAGAGAGAACACGGGCTTCTCCAGAGGACAAAAGGGGAGAATAGTCATCTCGGGTAGAAATGCCGGCCAATCTCCAGGGAGGAGAATGCCAACATTCACTATTTATATATACAGAAATTTTAAAAGCATTATCATATGCCTCAGAGACCTGGGCCCTACGAAAACAGGATGAGAACGCTATTTGGGTCTCTCAACAAGGAATCGAAAGAGCTATGCTTGGAATATCACGCTTCACTCAAATGAGAGATAGAATCCGGAGTTCTGATCTCCGTCAACGGTCAAGAATCAGGGACACTGTCTCGTTTGCCAAGGCATCAAAAATCAGATGGGCTGGACACGTAATGAGATTTAGAGACGACTGCTGGACTAGAGCTGTTACTGACTGGATTCCACGGGATGTCAAAAGATCGCATGGACGCCCACCTACAAGATAGTCAGACTTCTTCATCAAGACCCTGAATGATCGGTTTGAGGCTCTGCATGTTCCTAGAATGAACAGATACCATTGGGCTACACTAGCACGCAACAGGGACAAATGGAGACGTTACTGGCACCTGCTCGAGTAAATCGATGAATAACGGGGGATCAAGTAATCAATTCCGGGATGGAGTGATAGCATAGTGGTAGGGCATTTGCCTTGCGCACAGCCAGTCCAGCTGAGGCGGGTTCGATTCCTCCGCCCCTCTCGGAGACTTTGGCAAGCTACAGAGAGTGCCAAACACAGTAACAAGAAGTCTCACAACGAAGACGTTACCGGGCCCGCATGGAGCAAATCGGTGAACAATGGGAGGACAGATTCCTATCAATTCCATTCAGATTCATGTATTGTACTTTACTAAATAATATTCTGAAAAATAACTCAGCCTGTAAAAGTATATATTTTCTATGTATTTCATTAAGTACACATTTATAATGGGAAGATGAGATTCATTTACAATGTGGAAACAACTGAAGTGACAGATTGATGCAGCCAAGTTCTTTCACGTGAAATTTACTTACTGCTCCTATTTGTAACTTTGGCTGAAGTTTGTATGCTGTTAGATTTTCCACCAATATCTGTACACTACTTTCCCCATTCCTCCTCCAGTTTTTACTTCCCATTCATGTCCCCACATTTCCCATGAAATTCTAATGAGCAACTTTAAAATTTTCAATAAATTTAACTACTTACAATTTATTTTTTACAATACAATTTTGTTTTGGCAGAATAGATGCAAATGCTAAGTGCCACATATAGTAAATATACAAACTATTGACTTATTGTAAGGCAACGACCCTTTTATATAACTTATGACCATTTAAATAGTGAGACTCTAGTCAGCTACCCAGAAGCCAGCCAGATGTTTGGTTTTCTCCCAACCAAACCCCTCTCTCCCAAGAGTAACCACTACCATGACTTTTATTGTACATTTCCTTAATTTACAACTTTTTTTTTTATCCAAGTGATAAATTACCCCTCAACACCACCTTGTAACTTGTCTGTTAAACATCTCACAATCTGGACTTTGCTGATCTCATCTCTATAATAGCACTGTAGCACTGTCCTTCTGGTTTTCATCTATTTGCTCGAGCGGGCACTAGTAACGTCTCCATTGTGAGACTTTTTGTTACTGTTTTTCTCATTCTCTTCTGGATCATTCTCATAAGCATAACAATCTACTCTGTTAACTCCCATCTTTTGAAAAGATAATATTTTGCTAGCTACCCCTTCAGAGATATACAAATTCTTTTTCCCCCTGGCATTGTTAGCACCCAGAAGTGCTCAGGGATCACACGCCTGGCAAGTCTCCAGGCAGCATATGGAAAGTGAGGATCAGGATCAGGATTTACCCTAAACCTGGTCAGCCTTCAAGGAAAGTGTCCTACCCACTCTACTACTATGGTTCTGGCCCCAAAGATACGCAGATTTTATTGGCTCTGTTTCCTTATCTCCCACTCTTTCTTCAGTCTATTAAAACGATCTTTAATTCTCAGGAACACCATCTACCAATCAAAGACATTGACGAGTCACATATAAGGTCAAAGTCAACTTTCTTCTTACATAACTTCTCAACCGTGCTTGACCTGGCTACTTTGAGGAAAAGGAGCAGGGGATGGTGGAAAAATTGGGAGGTGAGTCTTTTCATGGCAGATAACACTGGAACTTTTGCGACTGGTGCCATGAATTCTATCCAGATATAAGGGTATGAAACAAAATTCCTAAAATCCTAAATTAGTATGAAGTCAATGATAAATTTTAAAAAATGAAGAGAAATAAAATTACATTCGCCAAGTATAAAATTAAAACTATTCATAATGATGACTCTCAAACTTCTGTCTTACAGCTAGGATGACTTTTCCCTTCCAAGCTGACCACCTACTCAATTTATCTCCTCAATCAGGCCTCAACTTAACCTTTGGTTCCTCAGATAGGCCTCTATAAACCAGTCTCCAGAAAAGAAAACATTTTTACATCTTCATAGTTCTTTTCAGAATCTAAAGCTATCTTATCTAAAGCCAACCCGAGTTCGATTCCTCCGCCCCTCTCGGAGAGCCCGGCAAGCTACCGAGAGTATCTCGCCCGCATGGCAGAGCCTGGCAAGCTCCCCGTGACGTATTCGAGATGCCAGACACAGTAACAACAAAGTCTCCAATGGAGACGTTACTGGGCCCGCTCGAGCAAATCGATGAACAACGGGAGGACCGTGACCGTGACTTATGCTCATATCAGCAACCCTGATGTCTAATATCCAACAACGTGTGCTGACAGTATATAAGAAATAAGACTTCAATAAAATTTATTTTTTAAGGGGATTCTCGGAAGTTCTGGTCAGAGAGGTCAGCGGCCACTCTTGGTGACACTCAGCCAACTGGACAGGTCCAACAGGGTTAGGGCCCGAGAATTCAGTATTGCTCAGGACCATGAGGAAGCTGGGGCTTCAGGACTTACAACCTGTGATGATTGGTGCTCTGCTCTGAGAGGCCATGTGGTACAGAGGATCAGACAGAGCTCTTGTGCCCTAACCTCCAAAGTATCTCTCTGGTTCAATATAAAATCAATTCTATGAAGGTAAAGGTAAAGGCCCTCCCGTTGATCGTCGATTTGCTCGAGCGGGCCCAGTAACGTCTCCATTGGAGACTTTGTTGTTACTGTGTCTGGCATATCGAATACTCTCGGTAGCTTGCCGGGCTCTCCGAGAGGGGAGCCCGGCAAGCTACCGAGAGTATTCGATATGAAAAGAAAAAAAATTTTTTTTTTGCTTTTTGGGTCACATCCGGCAATGCACAGGGGTTACTTCTGGCTCTACACTCAGGACGTATAGTCCTGGCGGTGCTCAGGATACTATACGGGATGCTGGGAATCGAACCTGGGTGGGCCGCATGCAAGGCAAATGCCCTACCAGCTGTGCTATCACTCCAGGCCCAAAAAGAAATTTTTTTTTAGAAAATTAAATGACTTTTATTGACTTATTAAAGTAACAAAAATTAATTACAAGCGGCTGCACAGAGATAGTACAGGATTTAAGAGGCATTCACTGCGTGAGGCCAACTCCGGTTTGATCCCTGGCACCAAATGAATCCTCAAGCATTGATGGTCTCTGGACATCACCGTGTGTCACTCTCGAGGCCTCCAAGTGCGGTCCTGGTGGCCAAGGGAATCCCACACTTGGAAGATTCTAAGTAGCACCACATTCTTCGGTTCTCACATTGAACTGCTGGTCCAATTGGCTGTGCATCTCAGGGAGTTGCCCCCTGGCACCACTTGGGGGGCCTCACCCCAAAATCAGATTATGATAGTATTTCAGGCAGATTTGTAGGAACTGCTTGGTTTAAAAAAATTATCAATTTATCTACTGGCACTAAATTATATGCTTTCTTAATCTTTTTTTATTTGCTATTTCATATAAATTTGATTTGTTTCTCAGAAATGGCTATAAACTCCTTCTAAGTTCAATATTTCTTTTGGATATTCATCATGTTCAACTAGGCAATCAGCAGGATTGCAATAGATAATAAAAATTGAATGAAATATATTTGAGCTTGGTAAAGAAGACAATTTTGATAAATAATCTAAGATGTTCTTGGAAATATGCCATTAAATAATATTTCTTAGAAAATTGTTAGCTAGCCAAGGTTTTCCAAGTAACACTGTCTCAGGAAATTGTACCCTTTTGTTTTTACAAGAAGTACAATGCGTGAAATTCATATCAATTAAATGTCAAATATTAACAACTAAATGTCAAGTTTTATTATCCAAAGATATGAGTACAACTTCAGTAAAAGAGCTTTTTAACTATCTGTAAGCTTTTACATGGAGTAAATTTGTGACAAATCCTCTTGAAGGGGACTCAATGAATAAAATATCTATAATGTCCTACAAACAACAAGTATCTTAGGAGAATAACTTGTGAAACCACTCAAAATGCCTCCCAGATCAGAAACCTGAGATATACAAGAGTGTTTTAGCATAGAAATGGCTCACATTAGCATAAGAGCATGAAACACTGACTTTCAACCTACAGAACTATCAACATTAAAAATTTACACAAGAAAATGCATCACTCACATATAGATATGAAATTAAAATCTACACAAAAGCATTTTCCAGCCACACCCAGGGGAGCTTAGGGATCATTTCCAGTTCTGTGCATGCTGGTCATACTCAGGCAGCATGGAGTACTGGGGATCA